CCTAGGTTCACGAGGCGAGACCGAGGTCCTTGACGGTTGCGTTGAGTTTCTGGCGGGTGCTTGATCGCCGGTAATTTTGGATCTCGTCCCCACTTGATGGTAAGCACGCATGCCTTGGCTGAAGAGCTGGTTGGGCATGCCCTCGATGGTCACCCTCGACTTTGCGTGATCTCAGGGTCAAATACTTTTCGCTGACCTTCTTCAAAACGGCTGAAATTCTTCCACTGGTAGGATCAAAAATGACCGCCATCGATCGCTGCCCAGATTGATGTTCCACAGTGTGTCGCTTCTTGTTCACGATGATTTTCCCCGTGACGACGCAGAAAGCACGCTGCGTACAGGATGGCTAAAGTGTCCGAATACTGGCTGCAAATATGTCGAGCCAATTCTGATTCGGCCACGCTGTCGAACTCCAGCCAAATATTGTCGATGGTGTAGCTTACCCCTCATCACCATTCTCCGTCACGATCACGTGGCTATAAACTCCAACCTGTCATCCGTCGCAGCTTGATAAAATGGCATATAACATTCCAGCAACTCGAAGTCGAGCGGGATGCAAATCGCAGTGAGTTTGGCTTGAATGAAAGTGTACCCCACGTGCAACCGAGGTGGCGTACTTTCGGCTGGACAAATCCCCTGGTACTTCATGTTTTCCCATCGCTCTGTGTAGCTGAATAACATGTCGCTGTCGTCGATGCTCAAAATTTCGTTTCCACTGACTTTGATCGTCGTTTTCTTCATGATGGCGCTTAATTCCAGGTTCCCACTGATTTCTCGCTTATCGCCGGATTCCAAACTGATCTGAAGGACAGGTGAGCCGTCCCCCGAACGAGATGACGACGTCCGCACCCTTTGAGCTACTCTAAAACAGACCGTCAACGATTATTTTGATACCTTAAAAGAGATAAAAATTACGTTTTTTCGATAGGAAGGTTACGCTATGATTGAGAGCCGATGCAAAAATCGATGTGGATGAAACCCACACGAAAAGCACTCGCCTCTGTCGACTCTGGTCTGAAATTATATCGGCCCAATTCGCTTTATGGAGAATTAAACCTGTGAGATTATGGCAGCGCACGACTCAAACAACTTCCCGCTTCAAGGTCGTCCAAGATCTGGAAAACGTGAGGACTGACTCGATAATATCACTTCGGGCTTGAGACGATGTTAGAGACGTGTCCAAACATGTGAAAACGTCAGACGACATCGAAAAATTATTATGCATATTACACGGACGAACACTCGTTCGGGTTCGAATTTCCTCAGGAACTGCAAGGCCTAGACAAGGCCTGGCAAACCATTCGTGGATCGCTTCGTGGACAACATGGCCATATTGAAAGAACTCGACGATCGTATCGCTATGAGACAAACCAAACTCGAACAAGCATGATGATATGGATCTACTTTATATCAGCCGATGTCTGATCGATGAAAGGCTGCAGGTCAGTTGCACGATGAACGATCGACCCGATTAGAAGGCGGAGTTCAACCAAGATGAGCTTCGATCCTAGATCAGCCACATGTGCGAAACCATCGCACCGCGTTGAACGAGAACACCTACATTGGCCGACAGGATCCGAACGCTGTTCTGGGGACAAGGGATAACCATAACCAGCGCTTCTGATGGCTTTGGGCTTCATCGTCTCGACCCTGGTCTTAGCACTGACAGGTGGCAGTGGAGGCGGTGGAGGTACAACAACACCACCACCCAAAAAGGCGCGACGCCAAAGACTGGATTAAAAACAATTGAAATCGCTTCGGGAAGCCTTTGGGAGACTGGCAGGGCCTCGCCGGGCTTTACCTGGATCTTTTGGCAGCAACGCGGTCCTAGTTGCTGGTTTGTTGTCGAAAATGGTCACGCGGCTTGGTCAGAACCTGTGGGCATTCATCGCCGGTGTGGCTGGTCTGGTACGCCACCGCTAACGAATTTTTAACCAAATGAGGCACACCCGACCGCTAACCCGGCCAACAAACTACGAGCGCCGTTTTACGACATCAATGTGTTGTTGATGTTTGACCTCCTCACGCAGTGGTGGTGGCGCGTGTCATGATCCCCGCTTTCACCTGTATGCGTGGTTGACACCCAGCGTTTGATCGGTGGTCGCTGAAGATTTCGTTGTTGTTGATCCTCAGTCACATGTCGCCGGAGCCATGTACAGTCCTATCGCCGAACACGGTCGACTTTCGACCGGGCGATTTCCAGCGTGTCCTGGTATTGCTTGATGGTACTCGTAAATCCTCCGGCTGGCGATGAAGCCCCGACATTCACCACAGACTGTTTCTGCACGTCGAGGTCATTCCTTCAGTGAGGATGCCTGAACGCGGTAGATTTAGAGGATGTCGACCTGAGTGCTCAGGAAAACATCTGGTACAATCTCGTCCGCAATCTCCACAATAACAAATGGGTGATCGTGCCGCTATTCGATGGCAATTCGGAGCAATTTAGACAATGTCGACCCTAGGTCTTTAAAACACGCCGTACTTCAGTTCGTCCTCACCGATGATAACCGATGGACGCTGATCTTTTCCCAAATCGATGGCTACTCGGATATCACACGCTCGCTTTCGCCCTACGTGCTTATGTGAGTCAAGGATCATGGCCATTTAACGAAAGTCGTCAATAAGGATTCTCATCGCGATTTACGTCCCTTGCAACGGCGAGTGAGTGCTTCGTGAGCCTCATCCCAGAGAAAGCAGGTCATTTGCTAGCGAAGTCTGTCCAGATAGTCAAAAATACGAGTTTGCAGTTGGTGCTTGAATTCAACGAGGCTTCCGATGTCCTAGAAGAGATTCCAACCAATTCAACGCCTATATCAAAGTCTTTCTCGAGGCATCACCCACCCAAAATATTGAAATTATAACGGGAGTATACCTCCGCTATTCGAAAACATCAAAGCACGGTGCTCCATTTATGTACAGAAAGACGGCAACGCTTTATGCAAGTCTCCCCCAAGACGCCACGATTTCCGTGGATAATAAAATCGGGCTCACGAAGATTTTTACCTAAATAAATCCATCTCATCAGCTTAAGGTTTACGCAGAAATTATCAGAGAATCAATTGAAGCTCTTCCCTAACACGAGTATAACCACCATGAGTAATGTGTCAAACCACGTTTCCTGATCTTGGAGACACGCGAGGATTCGACAAACCCGGGTCAGAAAACACCTTGTACGTATTGCACTTACAATACAAAGTTGACTGGTTTATTAACCTAAAAATCATCTACTACATAAGTTTAGATGATAGTGGTTACGTCTGCAACGGAAGGCCTTAAAACACGATGAGATCAGGGTTCTGGCCGAAGCCATGCTAAACACGATTGACGATCACATTTCCACCGCGATCACTGATAGCAAAATCTTTGAGGAACAGTTTCGTTTGGTGATGCTGGGAAACGCGAAATAGCACCGCATGAAGGAAGAAATTCGAACCAAGACTCGGAAAACCACTGGCATCGGCAAAGACGAGAAAAAAAAAAGCTCATAGAACAGGGTCGACAACAAATCATTCAAACCTTCCTGACCCAGAACAAAGATACCATAACAGATTCACGTTAAACTGCTTTGTAGATGTGAACATAACCTAAAACAGGTCCTGATTGACTAATGTGTTTCTTAGCCCTTAAACTCCTGTCCTCAGTTTTTCCACGTACATAAAATAGTACCAGGCTCATCTAAAGACCGCGTTTGAACTTCACGATACACACATTCTCGAGCATGACAACTGGGGCAGCGATACATTTTAGACGTTTTTTCAACTATTTTTTGTTGATTCCGCAAAATAATGTCTTGTCGTTCTTCGTAACTCGCTCGTGGATTTAATTGAATCATGGGAAGAAATCCTACTTTTAGTGGGGATAATTGATGATCGAGTAATTGATCGATTAAATACAGACCCAATAACTGACAAGTTTCAAACAGGGTATCGAGATTAGCATTCACCTCGCCGCATGTAGATGAATACCGATGCACGAACTCCATAGCATCCCAATTGTGTATGATCATCGTAGTACTTTTTTTACAACGATCGATCGTTTCTATTTTGCACGCCAGCACGAAAGCCTTCGCTCGTTGATGATGAAATCACTTATCATAAAGAAACGAGTCGTAAAACAATCGACTAATACAATCGCGCTGATGCGTTATTTCAACCGGCCGTTTTTTAAGTTTGACGATGATATCGGGGGTGATATCATGCATCGTTAAATGGCAGCAAATAAGTTCATCATCATTGTTTAAAAGCGGTTTGCATATCAAAGTGATGAGCCATTGTAATACGTGATCGGTAGACCCTATGTGATCTAAAATAGACTGCGTTTTGGTGGGGTCAAACCATTTGCACAATATCCTTTCAGAGGGAATCGATGGGATATTCCACATGATGATATTCCTCTATCATCACTCATATTTAATAGGGGCGCCACATCAAAGGATGCCTCGCTCTACACCCTCGCCGTGTTTAAGGGGGGCTTGGATGCTTAAGTCCCATAAACAAGCCTCTAAGCCGCATGTGATGCAGAACCCCCATTGTACTACTACTTTGGGATAACACTTTCTCACTTATGGCATTATGTATTCATAGTCCTAAAATATATTTGATACATTTGGTAGTTTTTCATATTTTGTAAAGCATCGAACTAATTATATTGAACGAAATTATGTAATGTTACCCAAAAAAAATCAAAATGCAAAAGAAAAAGAAACCTTTCTTCACTCATTATTGTTTGTCCTACTGACAATGTCAACCCAAAGTCTGCATGCCATTACTAATAATATCTGTGACAAACACAGAAAATATTACTGTCCATAATGATATATCATGAGCTGATTTGATACAAATCGATTCAAACAGTTATTAAGATAAACTTGCCAGTAAATAGCTAAAGGTTTACAACAACCAAAATAATATATTGCAACTAAACAGGATCCCTGCAAGGTGGTCTGGCAAGGCAGCCTTAAAATTATATCATTTCTGATTGTCAAAAATAACATCCCATTCTGTCGCCAGAACTGTACGTTAATATTCCCATCTCATGGTCTGTCTTTCAGACTTAAACTCACTTGGTACATAAATCCTGAGTGTTTGTTTAAGCCTTAACATATTAACAATGTTAACAAACTAAATGTGAAATGTGAACATTAAGTATCTTTATCTCAAGACAGTACAGGATATAGGTGAACCAGCTCACCTCATTAGTGTCCTTGTCTACGTTGAAGATCACTTCCATCCCGGATGGGAGAATTTGTTGGTGTGGAATACTATTGGTCTGAAACATTACAAAACAGTGTCAGATTGTTCATACGATATAGGCGACACGTGAGGGAAAACTAACAAGAAGAACTTTTCATTGCGTTCTATGACTTTGCAAATGGTTTGCCATCGAGCGTGAATGCAATGTTGTTTCACTGTGACGGAAATTCGGAATCCTTGAGGTCAGTTAGATTATATGTGGGATGAATGATTTAGCGTCTTTTTGTAGGATCAGGCTTGCACCTATCTTGGATGTTCGAGACAAGCTGCACAATGCCCAAAATCAAGAGCAAAATTGGGCTCAGTATAAATCTTGCTTAAGGAAAATCTGGAGCTCAGAGTTATCCAGCTAACAATTTCGTTGTGGAAACGTTATGATATTACGCCCGTACAACTTTATTCTGTGAACTCCCATCTACGTGGTCACAACGTTATGACGTGGCGTTGTAATACGTCATTTTCACGTCGTCACAATGTTATAGGAACGTTATAAGTACGTTGTGATAACGTTGTATTTTACGTTGTAGGAACTTGATGATAGTACGTCCATATAACGTTATTCTTTTCACTCCAATTTATGTTGTCACAACAATGTGGCCTGACATTATGATAAAAATCTGAGATTATAATAAACATCGGGAATATTTTGAATACAATTAATTGACATATTATGCATACTTCAAGACAATTTTCAAGTCAATATTTATGTTTTTATGATGCTATCTCATGTTGTTGTTCTGTGTATTGTTAACTCTCTTGCAACATCTGCAAATACAAACTCACACCCGTAGCCTGTGTAACGTCACCTGGATAAAATTTCCGCAACACGAACAGAGGTTTGTCCAGTGAAACAAAGAAGAAATTCACTTCAATGTTATTTTTTTTCGATTTTCATGTTGTTTTCTGTGGCAGTATCTGAATACTTTGGTCGACAAGGCTTAAGTGTAAATGACTGTTTCATTTGTTCACCAAATTTCTTCAAGCATATTGATACGTTCAATGTAGGAAACAAGTTCGATTCTGACCATCTTCCTCTACAGTTAGCATGTAAATTTGCTGACAGTGAGTGACACTGATAATCTGTTTGAAGAAAAGATCATTTGGAATTATTCTCTTTCTGAAACATTTATTCACAATTTACAGGAACGGTAGTTGACCCATGTTGAGAGTTTAAGCGAGACAATCGAAGTGGACGTGAATCGTGCTATTGATGACTTTGTAGATATTGTAATAGATTCTGCGGATTGTATGAAAAAAACGATTTTATTATAACACAAATTCGAAATCAGTAAACAAATCCAGGTTGCATAGTGCAAAACGAGCATCGCTCAGGACTGAAAGGCAATTTTGAACCAAGCAATTTCTTGTTGACAGAGCAATGCATATATGACTTGCTGTGGAAAGTACAAATCCGATCTTGCTAAAGTACGATTATTCTTTGCAAATCTGCAAAATTTCCTTCAAAATCATTTTAAAGAAATACGATCGCTACAGAATCGGGAAAAGATAACTTCTCCTATTTCTAAATCTGAATGGCTAGGACACTTCCAAAATGTATTTGCAAATATTGATATATTCAACAATAATCGACTATACTTGATGATACTATGTACCCCGATTACGACGATGATGAACAGGTATTAGCTATAGATTCTCCAATAACAGAAATGGAAATAAGGGAAGCTTTAAGACATTTAACTCATTAAGCCCGAGAGCCCCATCTCTACTCAACACCTGGAAGCCCTCGCTGATTGCCAACTCTCTGTGCCGAGACTAATTAGTGCTAGTCACACCTGATTTCCCTGGCAGGTTTCGGGGATCACAGGAAACTGTCTAGTCGTACAAACAAGTCCTGATTGTTTAATTGTGACGTAAAGATATATGTTGAAAGAAATCAGGTGTGAATACATTTCGTGTATTGCAAGCTTTATGTAATTTTATAGCAAGTTTCTCTTGTAGACCTTTTGCCGGCTTGTACATTTATATTTTATCACAATATTCATACACATGTATTCTTTGTATGTAACAGATGAGACACACGTTAACAAATTCTCTCTCTTATATCACTGTGTGAGGTTTAAATTTACAAAACATCTATGACAATGGTATACTGTAAAGAAGAATTTACTTTCATACTTTATAATCTTCGACGAAAATAGCGGTTTTGCCGATACATTTCTAGTATTATTTTAATGAAAGTACTATAACGCTAGTCTGTGACTAGCACAAAGCACATCCATAGCATTGCACTTTATTTCATACAGATTTAATGCAGAAAACATACGTGACCATACAAACATACATATATACTACATATTCCTTGCATAGACATAAAACAAAGAGTCACGTGATAGGACGTCATCAAATTTCCCGAATAGAAAGTTCGGTATCTCAACCGTTCAATGTAGTGGCTGGTCATATGTTATCTGCGACCAATCATATCATGAGATACCTGTCACAGAGGAAAGGACAGGTGATGGGGCGTGGGCGAAATTTCTGAAGAGCACGTTTGGTCACTCAGCAGCTTGGATAGAGATTGGTTATTGGCTATATCCTTGACCAGTCGATATGCTGGGTTTCGGCTTTATCAACTCAAGCTATCATGTAACAGTTTGTGTATTGTAAACATACACACTGGTAACGATGTATGAAATATACACATAAGACAAATAGGAGTAGATAGTCACTTCGGCGAGTTTATTTGTCCTCATTTTAGTGTTTTTCGATAAGTAAAACAAAGCGATTGAAATCCAACCACTGAGTAGAGGTAGTATTTATTTTCATATACATTTTATGCACACAACTAGTACATAAAACATAATGGTTTGCTGTACATGTAAATATAATCTTCACCTTGATACGAATGACTATCCAAACCAGAGTACACGCATTACAGAAATCACGAGGTGACACTATACAGAATTATTATAGTGTATAAACTTGCAGCTGACACCCCCACCCCCAATATGTATGAAGGTGGGCGTGCCTATATCTTTACTGAATGCAAACGAGGTTTATAAGATTACAGATGTGCATGCATGTATAAACATCACAGAGAGGGGCGTGACTCCATAAAGCAAGATGTCCAATGATATAACAGCGCATCTGTTTATTTTACACTTGTCACGGGACAAACCTTTCAACAGGGACGTAACTACATATGCATTCTACCGGAGGCTGTTATTTCAAGGTCGAAAGGGGCGTTCAATTATCTCATTACTGTAATCTGCTTGAATGATTATACGCATGTGTATCGATACCGTAACTTATATACTATCCAGCTTTTATTGACGATGGATCAATAGAGACTGAGTTGATTGATACACGTGGTAATTGCACCGGATTTGATAATTACACAGATCAAATACAAACGTTTTACAGAATGCTTATGTAAATTGCATAGAAAACTGACAATTCAAATCAACATGAAACTTTCAACAGCTTGAACAAAAATGCTTGAAATACCTTTGTATGGCTTACATGTAATAACTTATGATATTACTTCTGTCCATGTGTGACAATGTTTTGAATTACCAACTTACTGTCTTTTGTAACAAACGTAGTAAAACATTTCATTGTTGTAATGTTATAGGGACTAATTCAGGACAGCCATCGTCCAAATACTTAAAAAGTCCAAAACTATGTACTCAAGACATGTGAGACTTTATTGTATATATATATATAACGCTAAGCTGTATTTTTAATCACTACTGTACATCCTTATCACTACCGCATTGTAAATTGCCCATTAATTATTGTATAAGACATTTATAACCTTCATTGGTAATCCCCCTTGGCCGTGTCTGCCATCACATCAACTGGTCAAGGAAGTGCTATTGTTTTTCTGTCTGTCCATTGATGAGTCGTCGCCTGTCCATTGTTGTCAAAAACTGTATATATACTTAGTATGCTCACATCTAGACAGTGAAGGAGTACGAGTTCGGTATTTGGACTGTCTGTTGGGGCGACCACGAGCAGGATAATGCCGCTCGTAGGAAACGCCCTGGGGTTGAGCAGGTACTCCGCTCACCTCGCTCATGTCTTGTGTATTTGTTTGTCGTGTACTAAAGACGTTTGAACTCAACTATGCCTTCGTCTTTATCAACGCACACATCTTAATTATGAGCTAATTCCCCAGTTGACATATAATCCACGCGTTGACAGTAATAACACTGACATGTATATATGTATTCGATGCAAATGCGCAACTTATCACTTTATATTCGCTTAGGTAACATTACGAACTTTAGATTATGGAAAACAACTAGTTACAATTCAGTAAACTGTAAATTAGTAAGTTCAATTATGTTTAATCTATTCGAGCTTGGATGTATAATTACTTGTGTTTATACATTATGTTTCAGTATATGAAACATGACAACGTAATGATGCCTAAAAAGTAAATTCAAACTATTCTATGCTGAAGGAATCGCAATGTGTGATTGTTTATAAAACATGCCAGTAAGATGGCCTTCCTTGGCAAAAACATCATATATTTATGAAGGTGTGGTGCTTTGCTTCTATTACCGTCTTTGCCGTGTTTGTGGCTTGTTCGACAGCTATTGTTCGACCAAGAATATGTCCAGGGTATGATGGGAAATGACAATTTTAAACGTCCTTGGAAGAGGCCCATAAACATCACAAGTAATATGTTCTGACACCCTGGGTAGCGTTGGGAAGTCTCCATAGTCTCCAGATAAGATCGACTAGTCAGCGCGTCCTGGGAGAGGTCCCATTCGCTGTCTGCATGTAGAGGGGGGCACGGGTACCTGAGACTAGCCAGACTGTTACAGGACCACCGCGACCTCTCTCAACTGTAAGTTATCCTCATTTGTAATATTGCAAACATAACTGTGTTTTTGCGTTTAGCACTTACCAGTGGGCTCGGTAACGCTGAATGTTTCAGCCACAGTGTCCCTGAAAACAGAGTATCAAACATTAAGTGTAGGGTCTGAACTAAACTGCATAAGCATACATAAATTTCGGCATTTAGTTTTCCTAAATGTCTGTGTGGTTGACTATTCAGTGTGTGGCAATCCGATTTTTTGGTGTGTGTTTCTTATAACTACAACCTACTGTTGACATAAATGAATTGTTATACGCTATTTATATATAATTGAGTCGACCATAATGAACTCATGTTCAATGATTTTAATGACACATGCCAGGACAATTACACTGTTTCAATTATCGTGAATGTGCATATTTTTTTCTTTCTCCTCATTATAATCAGGGTCAGTGTGTCCCAAAAGGCAGTATTTCGTCTGTCACATATCGCTGTATCAGAATTTTTAATTATATATTCCTCGAACCCATTACGGAGAATCCCTAAACTTTGTAATGGAAGCCAAATTCCTGGTTATTGTTTCTCACCAACCTATAAAGAGCACTGATTCGTTTTAACTTGATTACGGCTCCATCATTTATGGTAGGTCTTGTAAAAACAATTTAAAACATTAGGAGATTCTATTCATAACCTAAGCCAGACTCGTCAGGACTTCATTGGTTGATAGTTTGTTTGTGTATGTTGATGAGTTCTCCATTAAACAACTTCCTATTAAATTATCATTGCAGTCTCATTGCTTTTCTAAAGCATATACATGTATTTGTAAGAGACCTACTCGTTTTCAGATGGTCAGGTAAGTAAAGTCACTGTGCATTATTTGATGTTATGCCATATTTTAATGCAAAAATATAATAACATGATTTGTGGTGTTTTCCTTAATCACTGTGTAACTGGTGATAGCATAGGATCGAAATCTGTGATTTCACACTAGGCATCGTGACACGCCCTTGAAGAGATGTGGTGTCAAAAGTCAGTTCACAAATTCAGCATCATGTCTGAACCAATGCTTGTTTCAATTCAGCTTAGTCAATGGCTGATTCTGGGTTTGACGTAAACGTCACTCCATTTCATCCCAAACATGGTCAATAGAGGACGGGTCCGGAGAAACTGCTGGCAAGGGAGTATAGGAATGTTCCTCTGTCTCAGGAAATCTGTCACAACATGAACGACATGTGGACGGGCATTATCTTGCTGAAGCGTGAAGTTACGTCTCTGTCCTTGAATGAACGGCTGCACATGAGGCCCAATAATCTGTTCTGTCTATCGCAGTCAGATTGTCACTGACACTGACAAGTTGCGTCTGACCATGAGATGTGATGCCACCCCATACCATAACGCCTTTGCTACCAAACTGTCGATGTTGAACAACGCACGCGTCACCATACCGTGCAGCATCGCCGTCTGTACAACATTGCCTTGCCATATGAGCTGTCCAGAAGAAATCTCGACTCGTCAGTGAACAAAACACCATCCCAATCCTGTCTCATGTGCCGTAGATGCTGACAGCACCAGGCAAGACGTGCTTGACGGTGACGTTGGAACAAAATTAGACGTATTGCAGGCCGTCGATCGGGGCCGGATGTTGTGCTCCCTCAATCGCTTCCGTACAGTCCTGGGCCTAGATTTTCGAAGCCCTCTTAGCGCTAAGATAGTCGTAAGTGTCATACGTTAACATTAACTTACGACTATCTTAGCGCTAAGAGAGCTTCGAGAATCTAGGCCCTGGAACTGATTGGACATAAACCAGGAATGATCCGAGCAGTCAAACTGGCAGTCTGGAATCGATTCTTTGGATGGGTAAGCCGAATGTGGTTGTCTTGCTGACGTGACGGCACGCGTGGATGGCCGGTCCGAGGCAAATCTCTCGTTTTGCCACAATGTTGAAAACGTCTCCATAGAGATGAGATCGTGTTTCGGGCCAAGCCAGTCTCCAGCATACCCCCACCGCAGAGACTCTAAGTTTCTATAAGCCGTGGCATGATGTACATGGCAGTTTAGGTTGAAATTAACGTGTTTTCAGCAAAATACAAAGGTTAGAGCATTATCAATCGTTCTTCAGTTTTCCATATCAGGTGTGTGAACTTCAGGTGTCAGAGAACATACAAAAAGAGAGTAAGTTCATTGTGCACATAGTGCACGTGCCACGCGCGATGCGTGACATCAAATTTCGTGCAAAGTGCTTTGCTACATGTTTATAACTTTTATTTTATACAAGTTTATGTTATACACAGTTACTTTTTTTCCGTTAGTATATATAGACATATTGATGCGTACAAATATCCATGTTCAGATTACTTATGTATACAATATTGTGTGGACACATTGATCTAAAGACTTAATCATTTTGGGACATATCCATGTATCATCCTTTGAAATTTTGTTCTGATTAGCCACCTTTGAAATAACAATGAACCGACCATACTGTTTTTATTTACAATGTCTTGGCGTCACATAACAAAAGATAACGTCAGATCTCGGCCGATCACACGTTATCCCAACGAAGCTTGATCAAACACGTTATGCAACAACCAGGACAGCGTGAAACAGGGTCGTACTTAATCAATAAAATCACCTGGTAATAAATCGCTAGTAGTTTCGTCCTCCGAGGCCTGCCCCGGGTGTATTGCAGACCGTTTTCTGAAATGTCAAGGCGACTCTTATGGGTTATTGAAATGTCGCCAAATGGGGAATAAAAAAGAAAGTACATGTATTTCTGTTATTCTAAACAATTGCTTATAACGTGTCACATTTTTTGCAATAGTTCTTACAATCCTCCACATGCCGTAAGTTATTAACGTTGCATGGCGTTGTGAGAATGTTCACCACAATAATGAGGAGGAAGAATTATTTTCTGAGAAGGCAGGACTGGTGGGTAATAGAAAACAAATTAACATGCATGTGTATCTTTTAAACCACTCTTTATCTTTTCCTGCCCGGAATCAAGGGAATATAGAGGTTACCTTTGCAAATATACATTGTCATTTTTACGCAGTTTGTAGAAAACAAGACGTACTCTCTGGAAAACGTTTCTTTCGCAGAAACGGATAACTGTAAACTCATTTAATGTTTTGATTGTATATTTCTGACCATATGTCCAACTTTACCTGAACAAAGACATTCCAACTCAGAATGGAACCCAGGAAATGGTCTCAAAAACGCAACCTGACCTCGGAGATGGTACGGTGTTCTCCATAGTTTTCATGCAACTCATGCTGCACGTGCTGTTCACAGGGACCAGCCCTATAAAATGCACCCCCCCGAACCTGGTTGAAACATTCACATTCCAACGTCAGCAGCATGCCGCGACACTTCCGGGTCAACGTTCGGACCATCTACAGGCTGCAGCAACGTTTCCGGGCCACCAACACCACATATGGTCGCCCCCGTACTGGCAGACCAAGGGTGACCACAAGACGACAAGACCGCCATGTTGTGCGACAGCATGTATAGAATCCCTTCATGCAGGCATCCGAAACAGCACGCCAGACAGTGGGAACACACGGAAGACCAATCACTACTGATACAGTACAATATTATGCAGTGGCCAGCCCTTAGTCCTGATTTAAACCCAATTGAACATCTCCAGGATGAAATTCAGAGGAGACTGAATAATGTCATGCCAAGGCCGAACACAGACGATTTATTGCGCCAGGCCTTTCCCAGAGTGTGGTTCCAGGTGCCAATGACCTTCATCAATCGATTGGTGCACTCCATGCATAGACGCTGTGCTGCTGTTATTGCCGCTCGTGGTGGTCACACTAGATAATGAAGTCAAGAGTCTGAATGGACTGCAAACGTTCACGTAATGTCTTGAAATTGTGCTGAGTTATTTATTGATGTGTCAAGATATTGTACACAAGAAATGTTTTTGATCTGCCTATTATGTCAATTTCTGTAATGATTTGATTACAGTGCCTATCTAATTTTGAATTCGCACTGACGTTTGTTTTGCTGCTGAGTATATTTCTAGACTTAGCATATATTTGCTTACAATCAATGAATGATGAGGAATGTTAACATCTACGATTACGTGTAATATGACTCCACACACTACACTCTTGACTGTTAGTTAGATGCTCATATTCAGTAAAAATATTGGGAATGTAGTATTTTATAAAAGAAGGTATTGAGTACAAGAAAGTCACGATCAAGTAATGAGAGCAAGAAATCCACGACGATCACGTAAAACTGTTAATACATTCTTTCCTTTACTTTTATTTTCCTGTTTATATTTTATTCCGTTTATCATTTATGCTTGTGCGCATTTTCATTTTGCATATTAACAAGAAGGTGTTGGTAAACTTCAACAGGTAACGTGGCTTCCGTCCATACAAAATAGCTATCCAATGATAATATGTGCGTTGTTGTACACTATTTTATCTATTATCTTACTTCTTTTCCATTCATGTTCACTGCAGACAAGGAAACCAATTGTTCATGAGGTATGACACTAAATTTCACATATGTAACCACACGCATGTACACAGTCCTGTTACTATATACCTGCCAACACATTGTTCTGTTAGCAGACATCATATGAATTCTACCTTCTATCAAGAAACTACCAGTTCTAAATAACTCACATTTCGAAACTGAATAATGAGAAATACATTTCCTGAGTTGTAGGTGGGTGATAACCTTGGATAAATACCAGCGTCAGTACACACTTACAATGTGTGGTGTACAATCCAGTGATTAACACTTATGCGTACATCGAATGGGTACAGTAAATGTACAATACAATGCTTCAACATAAACAATTACTTACAGAAGACGTAAGTTCCAGAGATAAACACCAGTGTCAGACCAGTTTTCCTCCATGAAGCCATTGCTGTAAAATAATGGCAATGAATATCAGAAATGTTTTCATATTTGATGAAAAGAGTGGTTGATCGTCCGTTGTATTCGCCAATCAAACCTTGATCGTCTTTCATTATGCACATGTGGGGAGTCAAACCTGGCTATTCAGCATGCAATATTTCAGCAATATCACCAGATATAGACTTCTCACATTGTACCCATGCGGGGTGTGACAAGCAACCACCTTATTGTCACATCTCCCATGGAATACAGGACAGGACTCCAAGAACGCCTTTCTGAATCTACATGTGGCATGCGGTACAGGACAGGTGAAGGGAGGGGAGATAAAGAAGTCTTCACCGTGTGAACCAATTCCCCTTTTCGAAACACAACTCGATTTGAACATTCATTGGCATACCATTACCAGCCACGGTCTCTATTTTGACATAAATATTCTCGATCATGTCCGTACGTAAGTCCCAAAGTTAATTTAAACTCACTCACTATTTTTAATCGCAGCATATATGTTATAATTATTGTTGGCTAGATTATCTAAACTTGCCAATAGCTGAAGGGATGATGTAAATCCAGCTAGGGTCCATGCAGTAAGCAAATGTACTGTAAGTCCCCATGGTCCCTAGTATGGTGATCTACCTTCAGTTGTTGGCAGTCTGTTTTTATATTGTATCGTCTTGTATAGTTAAAATGTTTTAAACCTGATTACTAGTTTTTTTAAATTTACATCTGTGATAAACTAGTTGCTTCTTTACTTCTTTACTTTACTTTACTTTTTTCTAATTTACCTCTTATTATTATTAATATATAACTTAATATAGTCACAATATGGCTGAAATACTGCCGATGTGACTTAATTTTAATTCACTCACTCACTCAGTATTGTAGCCACATGATGAACTCTTGTCTTTGAACTCTTTAAATTGGAATATCTATTTTCCTATAATATGTCTTATATTTGGGATTACACTTTCTTAGTAAAGTGCAGATTCTTGTACTTTCGTTGGGTTGAGTCCCATCCGGGATTCGAACCCATACCCACGGAATCAGGCACCTAATCGCCAGCACACAAAGTCGGCCGCCTAACCCGCTCAGCCACCGAGAATTCCACAAAAGTGGAAGTTGAACAACTGGTAGTCTAGACTGCGGACTTTGTGTAACCCTCTGATAATTGGTAATTGACACGGCTCCCACGACCGAAAGCTATGATTACACAATGCCATTTAGAAAGTGGTCAAATGTTTCATGTGTTATATCTGGGATTACACTTTCTTAGTAAATTACAGATTCTTGTACGTTTGCACTCTGTTAATAATATCGTTTGGAGCTTACCGTTGAATTGTATTCACCACGTCGAAGCTTACTCCTCCCGTGTGTGTCACATGCGCCAATGTATGATTTTGCATTTCTACTGAGCATGCGCATGTTTTGCTGTTGCGAGTTAATGTTGTGTGTGTTAATAATAGCAGTGATCGCTGTTCTGGTGACACAGGAAGACAATAAGAGAATCAATACATATCATGGGGCGGAATTTGTCGTCCTCTCATTGGTCTAAGAGAGAGATGTCAACTAAATATACAAAATATAGAAGTAACCAGCAACACCGGTTTGGAAAACTTAACAAGCTGTTTTGCAAACCAATCGAACTAGTTATATTATATGTATCAGTGCACACTAGGTTTGGTTTTATGCAGTAATGTGTTTGCGTGACACAAGTCAATGCATGATACATTGTAAAGCTTCTCCTTCTCAGAAAACAATGTTGTGAAACATTGTGTCACAAAACACTTCGATTTTTTTTAAGTGTGTTTTAACTTAAGTGTGTTAAGTGAGTCTTAATGATAAATAACAGGAGATGGATATTAGTTCGGTCGATAGAGTATGTGGTATGCAGTATACGCATGTGCAATGAGCACAGTATGCGAATGGACTTTTTAAAGATTCGTAAACCAGGTTAATAAATAGGAGGAAACACGACCTCAACGAACGAATATGGTTTATTTTAAATATATATGTTGATAAGACACGTATTTTGTGTTGTGACATCAGAGATTCCTCATTTGTCAAGGTCTCGTTGGATTCACAATCACCGTTGAATTTGTAGTTTTTAAAAGAAGTCAAGCACATATTTATGACTTCAGACAACTCCACTGTGACCCGAGGCATGTTGTAATTCAAACACCATTTACAAAGACCGTGACGTGGGGTGACCTAACAAGGACCGGGTACACAGTTACTAAGATACGTTAGAGTTTAGTGCACTAGATAACAGAATCAAAATTGTGTTCTGCGTCTCGATAAGGTGTCTGTACTCAAAACCTCTGTTGAAGACATATAATCTTATCGGAGCTAAATAGTATCTCAGCATGAACGTTCTCCGGTATATCCCTCTGGATCAGAGATACTTAATGGAGAGAAATTGAATATTTATTTACACTGAAGAAAAAGCACCTACCAACTGCACTAAACCCACACCCAGCGCGTATGCATGTCGTTATCCCAGCTTCGGCAGATTTCGGACTGTGACGTCATAGTCGTGAGACGCCAGTCGTTTCCCTTTGTTATCACTGCATTCGTCTACATAACAATAGAGTGATGGTTTATTGAGGGGGTGTCCCTCCCCATCCAACAAAGCTACCAAGTGTCATTTTTTCACAATTCTAAACGTAAGGGCCGTGTGGAAAGTTCGGATACAGCATAAATGGTATTAATGGTATATATGTACAAATACGTACATTACTTACACCTTTTCAAAGGTAAAGTCAGCAGAAATCATGATAAAAACGATGTGTTAGACATCGATAGTATAAACTATGCTGTACAAGGTTTTCCTTTGACAACTCAGTTTTATAGATAAGTGACAAAGGGGAAATGGTGTTTGTCAGGTGTTTTATGTACATTATTTCACTGGATAATATGGATATATATTTATTATCGATCAAAAGTGATCAGTCGGAGGCCGAGCTTGGGTTTTTCAAGCCCAAAAACTATACAGAGATCGACAATAAGAATATGGCATACATGTTTCAGATAAAATAGAGTGTGAGAGGTATCTTTAAAAAAATATTGCCAGTTCTATTTCCAATAATTCCGTTTCAATCACTGTTCTCCTTAGTTTTTCCGTCGTTTACGTTTTGTTTGTGAGTGTGATATAAGGTAGTCACTGATATAATAAGTGATGTTTTTGACCAAGACAGTGGCCAAGGAATTGGGGATTACAAACGTTGTCGATAGAGACTGAGATTGACCCGGACTATGCGTATTTAACAGCAACGTGACAGGCAGTGGTGTAAAATAGACAATGACCACCTTCCCTGGTCGACATGGGCCAGTCTCCGGTCAGTCTCTTCAACGTGCCAGCGATGTGACCATTAAGGATATAGTAAACAACTGCTGTGATCCTGTTATCATTTATGTCCTTTGTCGACATGGGCCAGTCTCTGGTCAGTCTCTTGAACGTAACTTGACCATTAAGGATATAGTAAACAACTGCTGTGATCCTGTTATCATTTATGGCCTTTGTTGACATGGGCCAGTCTCCGGTCAGTCTCTTGAACGTGCCAGCGATGTGACCATTAAGGATATAGTAAACAACTGCTGTGATCCTGTTATTATTTATGTCCTTTGTCGACATGGGCCAGTCTCCGGTCAGTCTCTTGAACGTGCCAGCGATGTGACCATTAAGGATATAGTAAACAACTGCTGTGATCCTGTTATCATTTAAGGTCATTAAAGACACATTAAAGATCAAACACACCTGTGACTGGCAATCAAGTCATGTTCATGGCAGTACTAAAACTGACTTTAAGTGTCTACCCCACCGTTCATGCTAGACCATTAAGACTGAACAGGATGGTATATAAAGGGAGGTGGTAAGACGGAAAACAGAGCAGGACAGAGGCAGAGAAGGAGCAACACCAGCCGAACGAAGCCTACTGCCCGGATCGCCAGGCCGTTGTCGATGCTGAAATATAGCAGAGAAAACACCACTCCATCTCTTTGTTGTCCTTACTTTGTTACAGTGGTTCGACTTCACTGATAAAAGCTGATTTTGTTTACCGCCAGGGGGAATAATGAACGGCGGTATGTTGCCTTCAGGAAGTGGTGAACGGCGGTATGTTGCCTTCAGGAAGTTGTGTGTGCATGGTGGATGTGTGTGTGTGTGCGGGTGTGTGTGTGTGTGTGTGTGTGTGTATTTGTTGGCATGGGAGAGATACAGCTGCAGGCCTCAGATACACGAGGTGAGTGAGTGAGCGAGTGAGTGTGTGGGTGGGTGGGGGTAGGTGAATGAGTGAGTGATGTTTTATTTTGCTGTAGTTTCATCTGCACGTGTTTAATTTTGTGTTTCCGTTTCCGCTATGCTTTTAGTTTTACGTCTATGTGTTCGTCTTGTATTATTACTTTAGTTTCTTTCCTTCTTATGGTTAGAGATATTGGAATTTAACTTTATTTTATTACTTTGTTATTTTTGCTTTTATTTGTAATTTCATCCTAATTGTTTCGTAGCATTTCTGTTTGGGGTTACCTATTTACACGAGAGAGATAGTTAACATGATAAGTACGAAGAAGGTGTGCATCATAGCTACATGGATAGAAAAACATAGGTCATGCATTTAATACGCACACAATTAAATAATGGACAATTAATTTAATATCTCTAAGCCACAAATACAATCCGAAAAATAGGATCGCCTTTCTATAAGCGGGAAGGATACAACTTTGATTTCAAAGTCTTCTCGTTGTGAAGATGCTGTTTACTGTACGTAGGAAGGCCATGGTGGAAGATCAGAGCTCTGTGACTTCTTTTGGTTCTGTTGATAATGACAGTGGAGCAGCTACACTTGCTAAACAACACATACTACAACTTACATGAGTATGCATAATAAACGTCAGTAAGAGTCAATTGTCGATGTCCGTCTGGCATGTCATGTCTTCTAGCCATCGGCTGGATGTACACTGCATCACTGATATAGCAGCTGACATTACAACCATAGAGCACAATACCCAGTTCTCTTTTCCCAGCCACACCTTAAGGAATTGAAAATATTTAAGATGACAAATCATACACTGTTACTGCAAGTGATCGTCCCTTATCCCTGTCTGCAACACCGGCGTTGGTGCTTGCTTCCAGTAAAGTCGCCTATGAGTCAATGCCAATAATGGAACTGGTTTCACTGCACCAGGCAACCATTTCGCCACCTTAACCTCTCCTCTAGGGATCGTCCCTGTATCTTCGGCATGCGATATATTTCAGCAATATCACTAGATACACGATTCACACATTATATCTATGTGGAGAATCAGACCTCAGTCTTCGACATGCAATTTTGCAGCAATAATTCAATATATATGCTTCACAAATTACAGCTATGTGATGAATCACACTTTGGTTTCCGGCATGCACTATATTAGCAATAGACACCATTTAGGCTTATGCCAAAACCTGGGTTTTCAGTCTTCCGGGTGTGCATGTATGTATCACACTCTACTCCAAGAACGTCGTCCTGAATCTACATCTACCATACAGTACAGGACTGCATCCGTCACCATTTACCCTTTCTGTAAACTACAAGAGGACTCGACACCTAATCGTAATACATTTGCTTTATCTTTATGTGTATCCACGTCACACGACTGAACGCGCAGACGCAAACCGCAAGACTATTACTTCAGTACTGAGAAGTCAGTGACAGGTTACATCTTTACCCTTAACCAGCAATATTTAGAGAGAGAGTTTGTGTGTGTGGGAGAGAGAGAGGGTGAGAGAGAGATACACACACACACTACCTCATAAACAGGCTATACATGTATATTCTATATTTCAGAGATAAACGTATAATTTTGACAAATCGATAAGGGGCATGTTCCGATCCATAGTTACAGGTAAGGTAAAATAATGAGCTTCTGGGATTATTATACAGACTACTGGCACGTCTGAAGGCCCTGTGGTGCCGAGCGAATGCAGCTCGTACAGCCAGTCAAGCATATGAGATTTTACGCCCGCCTCAGGATGTAGACGATGTCGCCGAAAGGGTAGGTGGGTTTACATAGAAAATACTATCTAAATAATAGAGAACAAAGCACCGTACCTAAAAGCTATAACGTGATGGGGCTGAAAGATGAAAAATTAGGTGTGTCTACCTGCGTTCGTGCGTGCGTTCGAACGTTCGTTCGTTCGTCCTTGCATGCGTATGTGCTTGCATGCGTGTGTGCGTACGGTCGTGCGTGCGTGCGTACGTGTGCGTGTGTCTGTGTGTGAGTGTATGTGAAATAGATTTTACCCGGTAATATGAGAGTATGTTAGATAACGGTAGTACATAAAGTGGGCTTTTATTTTGAAGTGCAGTTAATTATAAGCTGCTGCTAAGAAAAGGAAATATATATAACTAGTATATATAATAATAATAATAATAATAGCCTTCCTCCGGTAGTGAT